AATGTCTTTACAATCTGGATTTGTAACTGTGGATTGAGGGTTAGAGGCATCCTAAGTTCAGATATGAGTTTTGTAATTTCATGTAGAACTTACAGGAGCATAACCTGGGTTGCAGTTGCATTGATAGCTTCCAACTTTATTCTCACAGGTAGAATTTCTTGGACATATGTTAACATTTGAGCATTCGTTGTTGTCTGTAAAGCAGAATTTCCAAATGTGTTGGGCTCGATGACGAGATTGATCCATGCTTTGTGCTCATGATGACAGTTTTCTAACTTACGAACCTTCGCATTTGCCTTCAATCATTGTAAAACCAGCGTCACAGTAGCATTCTCCAGTTCCAGGACCGACATGGGGTGTAGATCTACATTTTGATTGTCTGCACTGTGTTGTTCCAACTTCCAAGCACCAATCAATTTCTGTCAAACGTATAAGATTAAATAAGGATGATTAATTATGTTGAAAATACCTTTGCACTGTCTAGATCTGATAATTTCTATTGTAAGGGGCAACTTCAGGTCAACCCAGCGATAGCCTGGAGCACATTCACACTTTGATATTCCCGAGCATTGTGAATTTATTGGGCAAGTGAATTCACGACTATCACAGTATTTGGAATCTGTATCAATTGAACGATTCTTTGAGGTTTAAGCTAGTAACATACCAATGCAGGTTGTATCATTATATTTAACGGTGGCTACTGAACATTCACACCGATAGTATGGAGATGTACTTGTATCGACACAAACGCCTGCTATACAGATTGATCTTTGAGTCTCACATATCTTATTTCCTTCAGAAGAATTGTATTATATTCTTGACTTCATTCAAACACCTACTCTCACAGTGAGGTTTAGCTGCGTTGCTTCCAGGCTGTGGACGGAACCCATCGGCACATGTACAAATGTACGAGCCAACAGTATCACGACAAACTGAGTTGGGATGGCAGACATATGTTCCTCTTTGACACTCATCAATGTCTAATTAATTTTGAACATCAGCAATTATAAAGCTCATCGTTACCGTCACAGAACATGGCACTGGGGTTGTTCACAGGCTTCTCGAATCCATCTTGACAAACGCATTCGTATGTACCATTCAAGTTATTGCATCTTGTTGTTGTCAAATCACAGTTGTTGTTCAAAGTATCTCGACATTCATCAATGTCTAGATAAAGAATAAAAATTAAGAAGCGAGCGATGAAATCATGCCTATGCATCTACTTCCACTGAATCTTTCAAATCCTTTTTTACAAAGACATTCTGCTCCACCGAGAAGAGGATAACAATCCTCTGATAAGCCATCGCACACTGGTTCTTTCGTTACCTGAATCTCGATATAAATAATGAAAATCTTTGAGAGCTGAACCCAGTGTCCTTCTACGCATTGATTGATATTTTCACACAAAGGATGTCCTGTAGCTGAGTCGACTCCGATTTGTCGGAAACCTCTATTACATATACATTGATAGGACCCAAGAGTATTAACACATTCAGAAAATTGACGACATTCATGAAGATACGTAGAGCATTCATCAATGTCTTCACACGAATCAGTGAGTCTGTTCAATCGGTAGCCTGGTTCACATTCACACTGAAATTGTTTTGTAAACAATGAATGAGATTATGAACTACCAAATAGCTTCCGATAGTATCAACGCAGTGAGTTCTTCCTGTTCTTATACACACGGGATGAGTTGTGTTTGCACATTCGTTAATATCTGAAATTGAAGAAATACTTTACAGTTACTATTTGATCTGTTAATTACTCTTGCAGCTATCTTTCTTTCCTGAGCCTTCGTATCCAACTAAGCAGAAGCATTGATGCGTCATTCCATGAGTAAAGGGATCTCTATCTTCACAGCGAGCACGAATGGGATCACAATCGTGTAATCCTTCCGTACACTCATTGATGTCTGTAGTTCTTCCATATTTTCAATCTACTTCTTCAACCCCTACTTCTGCACTTCTCATCCGCTCCACGACGGTAACCCGTCTTACAGACACAAGTCTTCAAGCTTCCGAGTTCAACTTTTTCGTGAATGACATCGACGCATTCCTCTGTTCTGGTGTCACATACTGTACAGTTATTAGCCATATATCCTCCGGATTCTTTAGTTTTGAAATGTAACTTGTATAGTTTACAGAAATACCGAAGCAGGGCGCAGAGCTGTTTCCAATGCCTTCTAGCTGTCTAACATATCCTGGTTTACACTCGCAGGTATATAACTCTTGGTTATTAGGATTCGGAACACAAACAGTTCGCGCAACAAACTGACAGGGTCTTTCACGATCACAAATGTTTGTTTCTGGAAAACACCTCAATTACATTATGAAATAGGAACAGCTGTAGGAATTCAATGATAGAATCATTCAATCATAACTAACCAACACAATAGGTTCCGTTACCCATGTATCCTGCAGCACAGGTGCAGTTATATCCTGAGCCATCGGGATAATCATAACAGATTGACTTGAAACGAAGCTTTTTACGAGAAGTTTTGAAGGTGCTAATCTACCTTTGGTCTTGGTGCGCAATTGATTTTTGTGGGATCATCACAGTAGGTGTTTGGAGCACATTGAGTTTCTGATACTCGATGATGATTCTAGAAAGGTTGATTCGAAGCTCGAAGTAGATGAAAAAATTACTTGAATACATTGACATTCATAATCTCCTCTTACGGTATTCAAGAAACAGCTTGTGGTAGAGTTGTCACACTTGGAACAGACAGTTTCATCTGCTGAAACATATTAAACCCATACGACACGAGAAATCAACTGTTACGTAGGCACGATGTGACTCCATCTCCTTTCGTTCCTGGTTTACAAGTACAAGTATAACTTCCCATAGTGTTTGTACAGATAGCGTCAGCGTGACAAACTCTAATAGGGTTAACACATTCGTCAATATCCACGCAGACACTGAAAATGGTGAATGACTAGAGATATTTCAAGTCACAACTACTTGTTTCTTGAGATGAATCCGGGTTGACAAAGGCATGAATACGATCCAGGGGAGTTCTGACAGACGGCGTTTTCTCCACAAATTCCGGGTCTTCTTTCGCATTCGTTCTCATCTGTAATATTACAGTGAGATCAAAAAATATCAAATTTGAAAACCTTGACAAGGGCGACAGGAAGTTCCAGCTCGAGTATCATTACGGAAGCCAACGCGACAATCACATCTGTATTTTTGGAAATCGTCATCAAGTGGGACCCTGAATTAGAATTGAACGAATCAGATTTTGATATATTCAAGATGAAACGTACAAGTTGACACAATCAGCATTTTTATCACAGGTATGAGTTCCTGCGGCACATTCATCGACATCTGTAGAAGTATCCTCATAAACCATTAATCATACTATAGAGATCGTACCCTTGCAAGTTGTTCCATCTCCCGTGTATCCACGACTTGGGTCGCAAGGTGAGCATCTGAATCTGTTGAAATCATTCGTTGATATGCACGAAGAAGCCGCATGACAATTGTGACGACATGATTGGCAAGAATCGGCAGTCACTGGAGATAACTGTTTGTTAAGAAGGCTTTTATGAATGGAGATGTTACATTGGCAGTATATAGAATCTCTCATGACAGTCCCTTCTACACAACCACAGAACTTCGTTCCGTTCGGGCTAACTTGACAAGTCAGCTCGTTTCTGCAGGCCATTAATCTCTCATCTGCACGAGTACAAGGGTAATCTGCAACATAACATGTTCATAAAATAATAACTCTATAGAATAGTACAGCAATAGAATCCATTTCCTTGAGAGTTCGCATCACATCCGCAATCAGCACCAGTGAAACGGTCATATCGAACATTCTCTTGCTTGACAATTCCTGTAGCGGAGCATATACTTGCTGGATCTTCCGTTAAATATTTTTGGAAGCAATGATCTGTTACTGGATAAAGATCCTTAGAGATAACTAACTATTAGATTATAATTAAGAGGAAGTATACCATAACATATCTTCCACAGTCATCCGTTCCCGGATTTGCTGAATTATAAAAAATTATTCAAGAAAATTGTAAAAATCTCAAAGAAACAATGGACTTTCTATTTTGACAGGACAAGGTAATGGACAAGTTTAGACGTAATGACATCAGAAGCAAACAGGACAAATCTTCGTAATAATCTCTTTGGCACAGCTCCATTTCTACAATTTCATTCGGATTAATACCATTTTAGTGTTTTAGGCTATTTATACTTATGACTTTTCCCATATTAACAATAACAGAACTACAGTTTTAACGACTTTTACATAGCTTTCCGTCTTTCACTGCCTGACTGACGTTGATATTCACGAAATTGTCCAAAGCAACTATGTGTTTCAAGTGTTATTCAAGAGAATATATGAATATATGATTATTAGAATTACCCGGATCTCATTTGAGCAAGTTTGAGAATGGTCCTATCTACTTCACAGTCAACAGTTTACTTCTAGGTTCTCAGAAACATTTGGATAACAACCGGTCAACTCCATCTGGCTCTTAGAAATGAAATCGTTTCCACGGGAAAACGTGTAGACGCTGCTTATTTCTCTTTTCATCAACGCTGATTATAATTGAATATGTGAAGATTAAATTTAACACAATTTATTTGTTCGGAATAAATTTATAATTAGAAGCATCATAACTATTCATAATGAGAATTACAAACATATGTTCAAGCAGAGTTTCGTGAGATGTATTGATTCCGTCAATTTAAATTTTAGAAATAGCAATCTTTCTTCATTCGAAAATCTTTATTGCGGTGCAATGGCGAATATATTTCTAATTGTTCTCTATAATTCCTCTATACCCTATTTGAATTTTCCTTGTGTAAGACGCTCCATTGCGAATTATGAGGTACGGTAGCTAAGATTCCCCTACCCTTCAATATCATCGTATGATCGGCAAGTTGATTTTGAAATAAAAGCGTAGTTTTGATTACTTATTGTTCTTTTACATGTGTTAACCAATATTGTATAGTTTCTGATACATATTTATATTATAGAAATGGGAGATCATTATGGCTTTTCGTTGACAACTTTCAGGTAAGAATTGATATGTTTTGAGTCTTTTCGAATACTTGTTTCAGTCCATCTGGAAAGTTAATGCAAATTGAGTATGCTTTGAATGCTGTTAAGAATGGACAGCCTTCAGTCGGATTGAGAGGTTCGATAGTCTCAATTTTTTTCTTTCTCAACTTGTTGTTTTAAGCTAAGGATGGTGTTGTCCTGGCCACCGAAAATGTTTCTTCCGTTTTGTGCGATGAACAAGCTAAAATCGAAAAGATCAGCAAGCATATTGGCTGTGTCTACAGGTTTGAAGTTTTTGAATGAGTATTATATTGAAAGTTTTTGTTTTTAGTGGAATGGGAGCAGATTTTAGAATTCTTGTCAACCGTGGCAGAAAAATTGCTATGGAATACGAGCTCATGTATGGAGAAGAAATCCCCACAACTCAGTTAGTTACTAGCCTCGCTGCGGTTATGCAGGAATACACTCAATCCGGGTAAGTTAAGTTTTGTTTTAAAGTTACAATAATTGTCTCTGAAGAGGAGTACGACCATTCGGAGCTTCTCTGCTTATCGCTGGTTGGGATAAGAAACCCGGAACACCTTTACTTTTCCAAAGCGATCCATCGGTATGTTCCACATTCATGACTTCGTAATTGACATAGACATGTAGGGTGCATATTTCGCATGGAAAGCAACTGCTCTTGGAAAGAATGATGTTAACGCTAAAACATTCTTGGAGAAAAGGTTTTCGAAATTGGTGAAACTTTGTAAACAAAAGTATATTGCAGATTTTCTGAAACTCTTGAGTTGGATGATGGTATTCACACTTCTCTTCTTACTCTCAGAGAATCATTCGATGTTGGCATGACTGAAGATAACGTTGAGGTTTGCTAAACGTGTAATAATCTTTATAAAAGTCTTGCTAAGGTTGCCGTTTGTGACGCTAATGGATTCCGTCGTTTGACCAAGCAGCAAGTGAAAGATCATTTGGGAGCTCTTTAAGATGTAACTTTTCCTTATATTGATACCGGTTTCCACTCGTTTTCTTGAGACCGATTGGTGATCCTCATTGGATCATTCCGTCAAGTAATGTTATGTATTTAATGAATAATTTATTCTTCACTGAATTTATGTGGGATATGTTCATCTCATTTTATATTTCTCCTTTCACACAATATATAAACATTTTGTGTTTTTAAAGGTCCTCTTGCCGACTTTTCGTAAATAATGTCTGGAGTACCAAGGTTTTCGAAAATATCTGTACAGTTTTCTACTTCCATTTTAGATTTGATTACTTCCAAACCGAGGAGAATGTCACATTGACCGTTCTCAAGAAAGGTGCCAAACTCGAAGATTGTAAAGTAGCCTATAGCGAACGTTACATTACTGTTATGGTTGAGGGAAAAATAATATTCGAGGGAAAACTTCAAGGGGATGTGGATCAGTCACGATTTGAAGTGAATTGTACACCGGCCAAAGTATGTTTTTCTCTTTGTTAGTGATGGTTCATTTCCTCAACAAGTAGACGGGTAGTGTATTGGTTACACTTGTTGTGGATATGTAGACAGTCAGGGTTCGATTCCTGTGCGGGATGATGACCTCAAAAGGCCGAGTGTTAGTGCATTGTTTCACGAAACTCTGTACGCTGACTAGAATTACCTGCGATACTACTGACTGCATTGATACATTCAATTGTGAATACGGAAAAAGAATCACTGACTTTTTACATTCAGGTCGAGGTGAAAATGCCTAAGTTGGCTACCGGCCGTTGGGCAGCATTATTGGAAAAAGGAGGTTCTCATCCAGCTGCAGCATCTTTTGTTTCAAAAAATTGGGATGCAGTAGAGAAGGTCGTAACGAGAGTTTACATTGGGAAACTAATCCACAGTAGTTATAGCAAGTTGCCGAAGATGAGGAGAAAGAAGAGTTAGAAGGCGATGCTGCTGTAAATCGTATGTTCAAAAAAATTTATGAAGACGCCTCTGATGATGTTAAGAAAGCTATGATTAAGAGTTTCTCGTAAGGATCTACAAGTTACAGCTGTGTCTAGACAACATTACTTTACAGAGAATCCAACGGAACTGTTTTATCAACGAATTGGGACGAAATCAGAGAGAAAAAAGTGGAAGTGAAACCACCTGCATGCATGGAATACAAAAAGTTTGATAATTAACCGTTTTATTCTTATTCTCGTATAGTAAATGAATGTTTTGAATTTTAAAGCTTTTTTTTTTGGAATGGAGGTAAGATTGGACTGTATGAAACTTGAGGTTTGACGTCCTTGAGCAACGGTCGCAAATCTAAAGATTATTTGACTTCCTTTCATGCCCGTCTTACTTGTTATTCTCTGAAGATCTCTGTTGGATACTTCATAGGTGGTTCAAAACTGATTTGACCCATCCACAAAGTAAGTCGGCCTTCTCAAAATCTCTGAAATTGTCAGTTCTAATTTCGTTTTCGTTGTCAATTTGATCCAGCTGATCATTGAATTCTGTTCGAACCTTTTATTTTGTTGTTTCTTTCATTCTTATTTGAATCAAGTTGAACTTGAAACATCTCATGATGTTGGTCAATTCGTTCCAGTCTTGGCAATGTCCTTTAGGGTCATTTACTTGTACCACATATACAATTGAATGAACTTCTTATATACATAATTTTAATAATTCTCTATACCTTCTTTGGATTGTTCATGCGAGGGAATGTAGTGCATAATTGGCACATGTCAATTATCGTATTTCTATTGGATGAAACGCAAATTGAGGATATGCGTGAGATAGAGTCCGTGCTATTTAATTCGACAGACTAGACCTCCGATTTCTACTTCGGTTGGTAGTAGGTCATCTGATGACCATTCAAAACCAATCATTGTTGTTTTCATCAGTCATCATCAGTATTTTTTATAAGCTTTCAAATTTGTTGTTTGATAGAAGTACTTGATTGGGACTTCATCTCTTACTGCTGCCACTCGCCTTCTGCATGTGTTGTGTGCAACGGAAGTCTCTTTGCGTCGTTACTTGTACTCTTCTTTCTTCATTATAAAATATATATTTTTTGGTAATTGTATAGAACTGCACAAAACTAATTATTGATGTAATCTAGGCAAACATTTACCTTTCTTCGTCCTTCTTACAAAAAAAAAGTGTTTTGTTGCAATAGCTAGCGAATATTTAAGGTTCTTCTCACATGGAATACATTAGCGATCAGGTCAGAATATGGAAATGACATAGGTCTTTTGAAAGTTTAAAACGGTTCCCATATGGTTACTGATCTGCTAATGGCAAATTGATGATTTACTTAACTTGGTTATTGCTCTCCCTTATTCCACCTCTCTCTCTGTTTCATCGTGTTCACAGTTAGACGTCATTCAGTCATTCTGATACTACGAGCAAACAAGTCATTCAGGTTGCTTATGTCATTTACAAGCTCGAAAAATTTAGTTTATGAACTTAGCTTTCGTTTCCTTACGACTATCTAGTATCCATTTTCCAATTGTGTTTACTTTGTGTAATTGAAGGTAATTCTGCCTATGGCTGTATAGAATGCCAGACTGAAAACATTGTCCTTCCGATAGAACTAACACAAGTCAGCTGTTTACTAGTTTTTCTTCCAATAACAAACAGCTGTATTGAAATAAATTTTTTTTAATTTTGGCTTTTTCTTGTATGTCGCTGAAAATCTTTTTCTCTCCTTCTCTCTTACTCTCCACCTACTGCCACACTCTTTCTATCTCTCTCTCTCTTCATAACATTGAGTCACGGCAATTTTCTTTATTTTCTCTTTTAGCCTACAAAAGAGCGAAGAGAAGAAAAGAAAAGAAAGAAAAAGGACATATCTTATGCACATTTTCAAACTGTAAAAGTTAAATGCAACCGATTTGTGCGGCGATGGTTTTTAGAAATGAATTACTGAATGACGTGAACGCGCGTAATTAGCATACGAAATTCAAATTTGAACATTTGGAGAAAGTAACAAAACATATAATCAATCATTCATATTGATATGAATGATGTAATAATAGTAAGTCAAAGAAGTAGTAAGAATATCAATTAAAGCTTAGAAAGTATTGTGTACATGTGTGTGTGTCTGTAATTGTTAGTGTCCATTAGAATCTTAATCCCATGTAGAGACATTTGCTGTTGTAAGCTCTGCTACAGACCCAGCAACTAATACTCCTAGTACTATGACGACTACTACTACTACTACGACTGGAACATAATGAATTACATATATAGAACAAGCCAGAAAAGTAAAAAAACCAAAAGATTCTTCCTCTACCTCCTTCTCTGCTCCTCCCTCACTCTCTCCTTCCCTCCCTCTCTCTTTCTTCATTATAAACACGATAATTCATATTTCATTTTGCATTTTAAGAGAATTTTGCTGAAAACTTTACAGTATAATACGAAAAATCACGCAAATTGATGAATCTTTCATGAACTCGTAATAATTTAGACATTTTGGTTATGTAAAAGAAGCAATTGTTAATAGTTTCTAGTTGAATGAGTAATTAAAGAAGCAAAATGAAATTTATCTTTCCTGTTGCGCTCTTCTGTGAGCTACTTGTTGCTCTGCTGCTGAAAGATCAGAGTTGTCAAGTAAGAGTATGGGCGTCTCACTTCTTCACCCCAGCTTCATCTATTCATTCACATACACACACACACACATATATCTCGTTTTTTGATTTTTCTTCTCAATCTTTCTTCTCAAGTATCGTCTATCGTCATACATTGAATGAACTTTTGGAACGACTGTCATATGTCCATCATGGCTTTCTTCATCCATTACACATTCAAATTGCTTCGTTTATATCTGGATAAGATAGTAATACTTCCGCATAATTAATCAAATGTATTGAGAAGGAGAGAAGGAAGAGGAGGAGAAGGAGGAAGAAAAAAACGAGAAAAAACTAATCTGATTCGCTACATCACATCAGACATTTATAACCGAAATCTGTGCTTATTTGTTTGTTTAGTTTACATATTCATGATTAAACGAGCCATTTTTCAATTTTGTTTTTCTTATTTCGTAAATTTGTAAAAAAATTTTGTGCAAAAAAAGAATTTGGAAAAAGAAAATGAACAAAAAATACAAAAAATGATAATCCACTCAATCGTGAATGGGCTTAAGATAGACAACATGCACGTAGTTTATGATGAAAATACATTTGAAACTCATTGTACCTGTTAAACAGCGTACATCAAGTGTATCTATCATACTGTGTTGTGATTATGGTTAGGAGAGTGTGTGTGTGTGTGTGTGTGTGTCCGAGAATGGGCATGATCTCATCGTATGTATACAAATACATACATATGTATTAATAGAGTTATTTCATTTTTATTTCAAGTACATGATGGATTAATTTTAGTTCATAACTTGTTTTGTGTAAAAGCCTCTTGAAGGGCTATGTGTATCTTGTCAGTTCTCCTTCTTCTTCTTTTTCTTCTTCCGAACTACTCTTCTAGATTATCAAAATATTGATAAGCTTACCTTCAATCCTCCTCTCTCGTACTCTTGTTTCCTCTTCTCTCACCTCATGCTCAACCATAAATTGCTTAAACTTTCAATTTAAAGAGAAATCTCATTCATTCATCTTCAATCTTTTCCATTTCACATCTTGCAAACCATTTTTTTAAGCTAAATCTGCCGCACTTTTTTTGCTGCAAACCTTTGTGTAGCTTTTTTCTTTTTCTCTTCTTCTTTTGCTTCTTCTTCTCTAAGATGTTTACCTCGTTTTGAGATGGAAAAGCAAAAAAAGCAATTTGAATGTAGTATGAATGAAGCCTTGAAGTCCTTATTTGGCCATATTCTATAATTATTCGACATTACGTAATTTATATTTTTAGAATATAAAATACAATGCCTTTCAACATCCTTTTCATCCTCTCTAACGACACTTACCTACTCGTCTGTCTACTGTCAGCCACGTATGTATGTGAATAAGAGGATGGAGCTTTGAATAAAAAAAAACAATTTATAGAAAATGAATTGCACAAGGTTCAGCACTTAAAAAGTTCCGTCTTGACACTTTAGCTCTTTCATTTAGATTCATGATAAACAAGTATAAGATAGAGAGAGAAAGAGGTAGAGAGAGGGAGAGAAAGAGGTTGAGAGAGAGAGAGTAACAGAGAAATGATGGATTGGAAATTATGTTTTTCATAGATTAGAGCTTTCGCTTAAGCACACCTTTGATGTTTCAGTTCTCTGACTGAGGGGAAAAGCTCAAATAATTAAAGTTCCATAACGATTCTTTTCCTTCTCTTTTTATCTTCCTCATTCGCTCTCAATCTCTTCAAGCTTTCCCCCTCCTCTCTCTCTCACTCCTCCCTCTCCCTCAGATGTATAACATTAGATAATCTTAATCTCCTTTATTATACGTTTTATTGTAATTCTTAGTCAGTTTATGAAATTCATAATCTATCCAGATTAGAACTATAATTTGACCAAAAAAAGAAAAAAAAAGAAGAACGAAGAACACTGCTACAGTATATGAGACAGAGAGATAGAGATATAGAGAGAGGAGACATATGGAAATCAATTGTCTTCTGTACCTCTCTATCTCTCTATCTCTGTTCTCTCCATTCTCTCATTGTCCATTTTTCATATTTTTTTTGTGTGCTGGAATTCCATATTGTCTTTTTTAAAGTTTCAAAGACATCAGAATTCAGACAACATATTGTGTTACTTGTGCCTCTAAAGACCTCGATAAGTAAAAAACAAAAAAATCTTTGAAAAGCAGTTTTTCACACCATTTTTTTGTTTCAAAACAAAGCACAAATCCTTTCAGATATATACATGTCCGCTTTGTTGTTAACTTCTTCCTACATTCACAAACATTGAATGTGTCTGTCTGGCAGTGTGTGTGTGTGTGTACGTGTGTGTACGTGTGTGTGTGTGTGTGGTGCGTCTGTCCATACGTACGTGTTAACTGGTTTCATACACTTCCTTACGTTCTAATTTATAAGAATTTATATTTTATTTGTCTTTAAACTCTCACCTCCATACTCTCTCTTTCAATTTCTTCCTCTCTCCCTCCCACTATCTCTCTCTCACTCTCTCTTGCTTTCTTTTCTTTTTTTTAATGAGAGCGAAAACATCGAATTGAGGGCAAATGATGAAGTGCGCGAATAGCTTCAAGGGTTGTGCCCAAAATGAATTTATAAAATAAAATTAAAATTGAAAGCTCAAAAAGGAAGTGGATTTACACTCTATGTCTTCACACATATTCTAATTTTTGAAGAAGCCACAAAAATATATTTCTTCTTTTGGAAATCTTTGTTTTAGATTTGATGACGTCAATGGCTTCTCACTTCGTCTCTTACTTCCACTTCTTTTTCTCTCTCTCTCTCTATATATCTTAATCTTAAATATCCTTTTTTAAACCTCTCACATCCAGACCTCATTCTTCACATTTCTAATTGATGAATATTCATTGGGTTAGCAGTACATTGACGTTTTTGTTTCTCAAGTTTAAAAAGCTTAAAAGTCGAAAAAACACCTCTCGTCCTCAATACGCCATCAACCATCACCAGTCTGTCAAAACCGATTCTTTCGTCTTCTCCTTCTTTTCATTCTCTTTGTGACATTACTCTCTTTCGACTGTCCCTTCCTCTCTTCTTCTTTTTCTCCCTATCTCCATCCCTCCCTCTATCTCTCTCTCTCTCTCCCTCTATAACACCCAACGTATTCATGTCTCAAATGTTTATTAAGTGCATATAAGGAGAAAATGTAAGAATAAAATCGTTTGTTAAGCCGAGCTGTTTACGTTAATGCTGTTGAGACATATTCTGCTCTTTCAAGAAAAGTAATTTTATTTCTTTTTCTCTTTTCCCTTTCACCTCTTTACTTGTTCCTTTTTCCTCATTGAACCAATAACTTCTCCCCCCCTCTCTCTCTCTCTCTTTATCTTTTACTATCTCTTTCCCTCTCTCTCTCTCTATCACTTCGTTTGCTTTCTTCCTCCTCTCTTTATTTCTCTTTTAAAAATCCTTTTCGATAACATTTCATTGCTTCATCTAGTTCTCAGCTTGTTTCATCCATGTAAATCACAAACCTATTCGCATCTCATTTGCATATTCAGATGAGTTACGTGAACATTCCACGTAACATTTAAAACTACTGGAAATCATGTTTTTTTTGTTTTGCCTAGAACTTGAACGGTTGTATCCTGGTACAATTCTCCTCAAATAGAATTCGCTCTCACATACGCGTTCATGTTATTCGTCTCTCTTCCTACCTTATTCCGTCCATGTTGTCTGTTCCCCTCAATCGTTCGCTTTTATACTTGGGCACATACTCTCTCTCTCTTTCTTTTCATCTTTCTCCTTCTCTCTCTCTTCTTTACTATTCTGAACTTGAAGCTGTTCTCTTTCTATTTCTCTCTCTATGTGTTCCTTTTGCTCTTCTAATCTCCATATCTCTCCCTCTTTCCATATTCATTTTTTTTATTATTTATAAGTTCAAAATTCATTCATATTTTCGAGTTCGATGTTTGATTTCATGAGTCCTGGATTGTGTGTTGTCAATTAATTGAATTTTTTTGTTGCCACCAATAATTGCAACAACCATTTGGACAACTTCTTATGTTCTGAGCATATAATGAGATACACAGAAAGTGAGAGAGAAAGAGATAGAGAGAGAGAGTAGAAGAGAAACAGAAAGGGACAGAAGAAGAGAGAGAGAAAAACAAAATACCTAAAAAAACTAAAGTATTTCTCTTCACTTTCTCTTTTCTTCATGTTCATTGACGTCGTCGTCGTCGTCGTCGTCGTCGTCGTCGTCGTGGTTGTGATCGCGTTGCCCTCCTCCATCTCCTCCCATCCTTTCCTCTTCTTTTTTTTTTGTTTTTCTTCTTTCCTTTTTTTTTTTATTTTTTTCTCAAAAATTCAACAACAAGTGCGTTCTATGTTTCTACTTATATGAATCAAAAAACACAAATAGTTCATTAGTTCTAAGCCAAAAGTACGAAAGTGTTTTATAGAAACGTAGAAAAGAAACTTTCTTTCATTCTCTTTGGCCCCTCGGCGTCAAATTCACTCGCGACTCCGCCATAGCTTTTCTTTTTGCTTCCGACTCTTCTTCGTCTTCGTCGTCTTCTTCTTCTACTACTTCTTCTGCTGTTGCTGCTGCTTTTTTTCTCTCTTTCTTCCTTTCATTTTTATTTTTTGACGACGACGTCGTCGAGACAAAAAGAAGACAATGAAGAAGAAGAAGAAGAAGAAGCTCTTCTTGTTTTCATCTCATTAATGTTTCTCTCTGATTCATCTAAACTTTCATCAAATGAAAATTGTTTGAGTGTTAGAGGCTTTCCAACTTGTTGCCTATTCGGTAATGAAGCTGTCAAGCTGTGCTTATGCTTAAACCATCTGCTTCTTGCAATCATTTAATTTTGTCTTGTCTTTCCATCATTTGTCTCCTTTTCTGGATAGATGTAACTGTCTGCCTTCATTATTCTTTGACATTTCTTAGTCAAGAGAAAGAGATTGAAGGACATCTGTTTACCAGTTAAGCTGAACTTTCGTTTCCAAATTCCTTTGAGCTTTTCCTTTAATGCTTCTTCATTCTACACTTGTTATCAGAAGTGACACAAAAAGAAAGAAAAAATACCACACACATACATACATACAAGGCCATCATGAACATGTAGTGAGAACGAAGATGCAAATTTCGAGCGGCTACATCCTCGAATACAAAAAAAGAAGCTCAACAAATCAACTGATTGTGAACACCCTGAATTCAGAGATTTAGATATATAACCTCACAAAACATTCATTGACTATCGAAATATTGTGCAAAGTTGAGAGAAAGCTAGACATACAGATATACTGCCTCAGGCACATCCAGTCGTTGTCGTGGAAGCAGACAACCAATCGATCTCTAAGCCCAGTCGTCAAGTCGCATTTTGTTCGAGCTCAAGCAACTCATAGAGTATGCGATTTGGAGAGAGAAGCAAAGAAACGATACAGACACAGAGCCGTCCCTCCTTCTGAACGCTCCACCCCTTCCTCTGGTTCCCTCCGTTGTCTCTGTGCTGAAGCCTTTTCCCGAAGCGAGACGATCTCCGACAGCTCGTCAGCTGTGTGTGGCCACAGACACAAGCAGCAGTAGCAGCAGTTTTGAATGAGAAAGTTAGAAAAGAAGAATAAAGAAAAAGAAGAAGAGAGAAAAATTTCTCTCTTCATTTTGTCATATCCTCGTTATGTCCATGTCGTTGTCATTCTCTCTTAAAGGCATTCACTTCCTTAATCTCTCTCTATCTCTCTCTCTCTCTCGCCTTCTTATTCTCTCTCAATGCATTTAACTATTTTTTCCTTTGACGTTCTCATCATTTTCATCTTTCAGCCTAGCCACTATCAAATCATCAAGCTCAGTGGATTTTTTTACCAAACACCACCACTTTCATCATGATGCGGTTTATAATTTATTTGCTATTTCTATTTTATCATCAAACAACGGCAGGGGTAGGTTATCGTTCGTTATTCCATATATTCTTCTCAAGACCATTTTTGAAATCGAGCTCATAAGAAGCTTTATTAGATGAGCTTCTTCACGTGTTTCTTTAGCTTGAAACCTTTTTTTTTCTTTCATACACCAATCATCCCGAATATAATATTCTCAATACGAAAATTGTCTTGAAATCGCCATCAAACTCACCATAAGCTGAATCCAAGGTCGCTTTTTTGGAAATTCTTGACGGATCGCCTGACGATTATCTGTCTTAATTCTTGTGTAAAATATAAAATTTTGTTTGTGAATATCGAGATTTCGTCGTTCAATTGACAGAATATCGAGAGCAATTCTATTTTCGTCTGATGAGCTTGTTGGTCTTTTGATTTTCTGCACAAAAATCAGCGTAAGCCAGTCGATCATGATGATGATGGTTTCTGTTTCAATTCGCAACTTACATGTGAATGTATAACATTCAAAGTTCATCAACATCAAAAGATCGGATTATAACATTGATATAGTTAATTTCCGTTTTTGGTTACTGGTCCATAGCCATATTACTTATAATATCTCATGTCAACGACTAATATACGATTGGTGAAAACAGCTGCTTTTTTCATCTTTTCTTTACTAGCACTACTCAGAAAAAGGAAATTATCTAGATTATAGAATATTTGCTGTTCACTTTCTTAACTATATACATATCGTTAGGCATATTGAAAGTGGTAGAGACAGATGGAGATAGAGAAAGAGAGAGAGATAAAGCTCAAACTTCAATCGTGTAGAGGACATAAAATATATTTTAATAAACAACAACATACATACATACATATATATATATATATATATGAGAACAGATATTCTAGATGTTTATTCTCATCCAAATACGGCAGTTTTACTTTGAAGCTTCCGTCTCTTGATCCCTTTTCCATGATATTATTTTTGTTTTTAAAGCTTAAGAGTTCAAAGTATACATTTACTTTAAAGCTCTTCTTATATTACATGAGCAAAAGTTTAATATAAGCTCATATTCATTTATTGAAATATTTCAATTGGAAAAATGTAATAAACTTGATTAATTTGATGGATGCCCTTGTTGTGATAATGACGCAATCGCTTTATAATCATCAATGGCTGATTTATAAATTAGAATATTAATGGGAGCTTAAATGAAACAAATAAAACAACCGTTCACAATGGGCACATGTCAAACTAACGAAAGTACACGCTGATTAATTTCACGTAAATTGCGTATCATGCATGAATATGCTAATGAGACATGAGAGTTGTTAATGTGTGAGCGAGAGAGCAATAGATTGATTTAAATATGTGTTATTAGCTATACAGCATGACGTAATCGCTCTGAAAAGACAGTCAAGGTGAATAATTTGCATTTAATATTAAACATCCATAAATATATCCAAATATGTATATACAAACATGTGAGTATGAGGGTTGTTGTGATTAACGTAAGCAGCATACCTCATGTGCATCTCTCTCTTGTACCACACTAAACACATCTAATTCAATATGAATAAATGAATTCGTGTGTGTGTGTGTGTGTGTTAACCTTATGAATGTGGTAATACATTTGGAAATATGAGATGTTACATCCAAAATAAGCATTTCTTCTCCTTGACTGACGTAACTTCAGAATTTTATCTTTCGTTCACCAACCATCTGAACCAATTGACTACATTACGTCAGCTACTCTCACGTCATAACCAAAAACTATTTTCATTTTCTTTCATATGTCATCATATTTAAATTTTTATCTTCTTTGCAGTTTCTCAGAATGAAATGTGGTCCCGTAATTCTTAACGGTGATAGTCTACGAGTTGTTGAGCCTGGCAAAGCTGTACCTAAGCATTACTTACCATGGCCGGGAGATATTTGTGACTCAGGTATTTATCCAATTCGTTTCTACACTTCACTCCTTACTTCCTCATTATCTATTCAATCGAATATACTTTAAACTAATTTTGGCTTAGAAGCTTCTCTCTTGTCGTACTTAAGCAGTGAACCCATGAATTTGCTGTGACGAGTTGATTGAACATCCTTTAACTTCCGCAATCAAAACTCATTCGAGCTTACAATTAAATGGAATTTCATTCAAACTTCACATGAAACAGCCAATTTTTATATGAAAATATCACTTAATGATTGGAAATAGAGCATAACTTCAATTGTTATAATCAGGCAAATTGATTTCTTATATGATCTCTTAACAAGCGTACACTGCTGTCACTTCACCTCCTTTGCTCTCTCACACTGTTTCTCATCTCAACAGCTTCCGTCAAATTAGATTTGGCGGATTTTTTTAAAGAGATTTACAAAAAAAGACGAAAGAAACGTCTGTTTTCTCGTGCAGATTCTTGAAGGAAGGAAGTAAAACCTCATTCGTAGAAATTTCAAATTCAATGTTAAAGTTTTCCATTCGATTAGATTTCCGAATAGGAACATGTCAGTTGACGTCACGAATCTCTCCTTCATGATCTGAAGTTGTGAGAAAAAGGAGAAAAAGAGAGAGATAGAGAGAGAGGAGAAAAGAGAAAGAGAGAGAGAGAAGAAGAGAGAGAGAGAGAAACTGTCTGAAGTTCATACAAGGCCCTCTTCTGATAATTTATGTGATAAAGCTTCGAGCGTCTGAAACATTTTTCTTGAAAACAAAAAAATATTTTATTATGCTGGTTGAACAAAAATATTTTTTCTTCCATTCATATGCACTTTATATACTAAGAGAAGTAGAAATGAAAATTGTTTTAATTAATAGTAATCAAGCACTGATATAGTATATAAGATTCGATGAGCTTTGCATCTGCTCTCTCTCTCTCATGATGTTCTTCGTTTTCATTAAATTATTGACCTTTTTAATTTTTTTTTTCTTATTATTCAATTTCAGAAGAACCAGAAGTTGCTAGTTACTTCTTATGTATTGATTGTGAAACGAAATGTCCAAAGGAGAGATTTAGTCGACTTTCTGATATTCATTTGATCATCTCACCTACTCCCATACATGAAGCCAAAACATCTTGGTTCAAATATGATAATGAGGCAATTGATCCGAAAGATAATTGCAGCATAGTTGAGGTAATCAGTTATGCATGCTTAATCATTCAATATGGTTATCTATAGATTACTGGCGATACGGAACAATCATCTACAGATGCATTGAAAAGCTTTTCTAAGACTTCCGTTTTATTTGTTTCCATCAGTTTCATCATTCTCATGGTTATTTCATTAGCCTGGCTTGTCTTCTATTACGTTCAACGTTTTCGATATGCTCATGCCAAAGATCGACTTCAGCGTCGGTATGATATCATTTCTATATATTCTTCTCTTTTTTATTTCTCTTTTTCTTACTTTTCTTTTGACTCATACTTATTCTTTAGGCTATTCAATGCTGCTCGTAAAGCTCTTGCACGCATTCCAACCAGAGCTCTGAAACCTGGAGATATAGAACTAGATACGGATTGCGCTGTTTGCATTGATCCATATCAGACAGCTGATGTTGTTCGAACTTTACCGTGCAGGTAATCTTGTTAACATGCTATCCTATCATAATATTCCATTTTTAGACATGTTTATCATAAGTCTTGCATAGATCCCTGGCTATTAGAACATCGTACGTGCCCTATGTGCAAAGCTGACATTTTAAAATATTTTGGTTATCAAGTAATATTTATTGATATTTTATCATTCTAATGATCTTAATCTAATTCAGGTAAATTCAAATGGCGATCCAACGCGTGTGGAAATCGAAAGGGATGTACATGATGCTGAATCGCCTGAACCTCCTAGCTCATCAATATCAGAGTCAGGCTTTGCTACATTCCAGCCGGCTCGGGAACAGGACAGTTATCACTATAGCCCAGCTCCATCTCCTCAACTAGTTATGAGCTCTGCTAGTGCAAAATCCTTTGCTATTGTTCCCATAACAGTTCATTCAAAACCTTCATCTCAATCTCCTGAAGATGAACTGACAACGATTGTTGTCCAACCTAATTCTGCGACAATAAGTTCAACGGCGTCAACTGGGACAACAACATCCTCTTTATCAAGAAGTAAAATCAGAATCATTTGTCAAAATAAAATATATATGGCATTTTAGGCGATCGCAATTCCTCCTCCAGCTATGTTGAAGTGACGTCTTTGAGCAGCAATGGTAGCACAAACAGTTCTACTACTACTATAGTTCGACCACAGACAGCAAGGGCTGGAAGTCAAGGACAGATTGTGAATATAGTCCAAGTAAGCTCGTTTCATATTTAATAATCACATGGTCACAACCGTTCACTGCGCAAACTGCAGTTTAAATAACAAATTAAGTTTCACGTGATTAGAGCGTCATGTTCACACGCGTGGTTTTTGAAAAATTGAAATGTTTACATCTGAAATTCAAATAAGTTTGAGAATTTCAATTAGTTTCTTCACATAATTAATAGATATTATTCATATAGTTAACAATTTTTCTTCGTTTCAGGTAAGAGCTCGAACACCTAGTTGCCCACGTGTTGTGACAGTACGCAAGCCTGATCGTGGAATTCAACTAGCTCCTGTGGATAATACCTCTCTCAATAATGCGGATACAGCTTGAAAGGATCCGTATTATTTCAATATTGTTTCAAAAGACTTAACTTATGCAACTCAGGTCTATCTCATTGCAATAAGCAAACAAATTCAACGGGTTGAACATTTTAATTGAAATCCTCACCGCTCTTTACTTAAACGTTGTTCCTAAAGTTCAACTCTGTCCCTCTCTCTCTCTCTCCCTTTCTGGCTCACATCTCTGAACGGCTTAATGATCAAAATTGGAGATTGACGGGTTTAGTTTTTGCATTTTGATAAGAGATTCCTAAAGAAGATTTTGATCATGGTCGTTCATGAGATCGAGCAGATTGTCGTCACACATATTTCCCTAATAAGGCATTACCCAGCGGACGGGTACAATAAGTTCAACAATTGTTCATCTGAGGCTTACCTAGGCTGAGACTGATCTCTAATAACCAAAATTGATCTTTCGACTTACTCTGTACATGTATTATTTGTATTTAAACGTCTAAATTGCTAGTTAGTGAATTGAATGAGTACGGGTTTCACACGAAGTTTTGAAAGTTGTATGAGGAGCTTTTTATCTTTTTGTTATTAGAATTGTTTATAAAATTATATAATTAAATGAAATAAATGAATTCTACCTCACATTCATTTCATGTAAAATAATAACAAAATGTTTGTTTGGCTGAACAACAAAACAAAGTAGCAACATAGCACTGGAGATCATAAAACCATGACAAATCGTTTCTATAATTTTCTTTTTAAGTATTGTAAGTCAATTTTTTACACAAGAGTGAGTAATACTAAGTTAGTAGCTGAACTAATTGTCCTTTTCTGACAGCATAACCTTCTTCGACACTGGGGCTAACAGTCTGTGGTTTAGCAGTTGGCTATCGTCATCTTCTTCTTCTTCTTCGTCCTCTTCTTCTTCTACATCGTCGTCTTTCACCATTGCAGCTTTCCTTTTCAAGGATGCTTCTGTTGGCAGTTGACGCTCGGATTTATACTCGTGATCGTTATCATCGTACACGATATCTCCCGACACATTGAAATCTGTGATTATTCCTTCTTGTACAACATAATCGGCTGAAAGACAAAATTTTGAATTCATTTTATAGCAAACACAGCAGACCTGCAACATAACTCGCGGTATTCGGGTGAGCGAGAACTTCGGCGTGTGATTTCACTCGATTGTATCCGTCTTCAATAATATTCCAAGCCTATTAAGAGAATAATAGGATTTTTCCGGAGTTCAATGAATACCTCGTGGAGCAGGCAATCCATATCAGTTCTGCGATCATATCTCTCCAGGATGTGGAAAATACTGTCAAAAGCGATATATGAAGAGCGATCATGCTCATTAGTTCCTGAAATAACAAAGCAAATGCATGAAAAGTATAAAGATAGTACCTGCCCAAAGCTGATGAACGCGATCCGATAAGTTCTTTGGATCGCCCAATATGGGCTTGACCAACGAACACAATGGTTGAGCAGCCCAGTTGATAACAACAGGATGGGAAGCTCTGCTATTGCTGAATTGGAAATTGGCATCAGTTAAACAAACAACTTCAATTCTGTTATCGTTGGGAAACTCATCAACCTTCAACGAAATTATTTGGCACTGCACGGAGTGAGACTCACGATTCGGGAAATATCCTGTCCACCTCTACTGTGAGCAACAACATATATACGACTTGCTCGGGCATACTTTACGAATCGATACCAGCAGTTTACAGCATGCATTCCGCTGTCTTTGCTGTACTGAAACAAGAGAGGTAACAAAGAAAATTATTAGTTCAAAAATACCCTTAACGGAACCTCATGCTCGTTTATCAAATGGATATTATTGTTTGTATTCATAACTAGCACACCCCATTCATTGGCCATTGCTCGTTCTATATATGGTATTTGAGAGCCTCGATCCAAGTTTTCATTCATTATGAGACTGAAAATTGGATTACTACATATCCGCTGAATGAAAATTACCGTCTTCCCCATTGACCCGCCCTCACTGCTCCTGAACCATGCAGTAGCACCAAAAGCGTTGGCTTTAACTCGAAGTGAGGTGAGCCGAAAACGAAGCTGAACTCGCTATCTGAACCAGCATCAATAGGTTTTTTTAACTAGAAACAGAAAAAAAAGCTTTTTCAACAATAAAACACCTTACAACTATTCTTTGAAGTCCCAATTTCTCCAGAAGATCGTACACTTCATGTGTCATGGCGTCTCCCAGAATCTCGTATTCTTCTTGGCTTGTGTATTGAAATGGTTCATCACCCTCGAAAATATGTGTTAAGAGAGTCTAGTGGGAAGTAATGAAATACTTCTACTGTTCTCAGTTCTCCTGAACTGTTGAAATGATACCCCAAATCAAGCAAAGTGTATTTTGGCTGAACAGTGTCCACTCTCATTCTGTTGAGTTATCTACAAAAAAACATTTACGTTTTCTACTGAATGTCCTCTTAACTTCTCGGTAATGAGGCCAAAAATTACGAAATTGATGATGAAATGCTAACAGCTAGATCAAGAAAAATCAAATATTAGTGGAAAATGTGTAAATGGCCGTTCGTCTTCAATTTCCATAAATTTCACAGCGAAGATTGCGTACTATTTTTGTTTTGAAGAGAAGGAAATTGAAAATTCAACCAGCTTCTTCATTTTTTGTGTATTTTTGAGGTGGTTGAGATACTAATAAGCTTGTTCTAAAGCCATTGTTCTTCAACTCTCAGCTTATCAATGCTTACCTTCTTTCTCTTTTCTTCGTTGAAACTATCATGTTTGAAATGTCATTTTTGTCTCTCTAGGTATATGTGATAGAACGGTGAGAAAGCAGAATGTCAAAAAACGATAAAGCGATATTGGAAAGACGCCTTAGGCCTATTTATGGTAGTTTTGTTTCATGAATAGTTTTTCATCTATTTTTCTCTCAGATGCGATAGACTCGGACAATTTTAAGAAGGCTATACAGGAGGCCGAAAAAATACTGAAGAAACATCCCACTACTATATGTGCGAAGGTTTCGTTCTTCCATAATACTTTGATTGACAGTGTATATGATTAGATACTAAAAGCATTTGCTCTTATTAAAAGTGAACGCCTCACTGAAGGATTTGCCATATTAGATACCTACGATGTTGAAGGAGCCAACCACAATGAGACGACACTGCAAGCGTTCGTTCACTGCTACAAAGTAATTTAGCCTTTTCCAAACATAAACTAAAAATCTTTGTTTAGGAAGCTGCTCTACCTATACGTATTTGTAGATTATACGAAAGAGCTTCAGCAGTAAATCCCACTGAGCACAATTTGTCACAGTTGTTCATGGCCCACGTTCGCGTGAAGTAAGTCAATGCCGCACTAGTTCGTTGTGCGGGGAACAACCGTTCGCAAGCGTCGCAAAAAAGAAAATGAATTTTCATGAGAAACGACTTCTCTTTTTCTTTGAAAAAATACTCCGAATGGATGTTGAAGAGTTAGAAATGTAAAATTTTCCAGAAACTACAAAACCCAACAGCAAGTGGCTATGAGACTTTTCAAAGATTTCAACAGTGGACCATACTTATGTTGGGCCGTAATGAGTGTTGTTATGCAGGTTTTGAAACCAATTCGTTATTCATTGCTTACATATTGTATATCAGTCGTACCATGCCGAACCTTGTCTTGGCAAGAAGATGTTTTTCCCCTTGGCTGAGAAAATGATAAGCCAATTCATAGAAAAGAATGGGTATCAATCATCTGCATGTTTGTTCGCCTTCCAAGATCATTATGAGTGTTTTATTTTTCAGCTCTCGAACTCCACTGTCTCATATTAGAAGGTCTTGAAAAACATAAGGAAGCTGAGCAGCTTCTTCGCTCGGATGTAGGTGCAAAATTTTCCAACAGCCCTCCAAACGTAAGAGATTAAACAAATAAAAGAGAACAACATACCTTTTAAGCTCACCATCATCCGCAGATTACGTTTATTAGTTGCCGATAAAAATTTCCTGATGGTCATTGAGAGAACGGTAGAAGCTTTGAAAGAGAAGTGGGACAGTTTATGAAATGACTTTAACTCTCGTGTTTCTTATAGTAATGACGATTGGACTCTTTGGACTATTTTGTTCGATTCTGTCTTCCAAGTTCTGGTTTTAGATTTACCTGAACCCAAGAAAAAACAGTATGTGACAAGTTATTTTTTCTCCATCTATTTTTCCCCAGAGCACTAGATGATATGGTTCATGCCGTCATTTCCCACTGTTCCTTGGGAAGCCGAAACAGAGGACCTTATATGGCTAGATTAGAATTATTAGGCAGATTATTAGATTGTAATGAATCCTTGCGAGTTGCGATTGGTGCTCGATTGGGTATGAAGGCATGAAATCAATCACTCTAATGACTATTTTATAGGCGAGGCTTATGATTTGATGTTAGCTTACTTCCGTAGATTCTATTCCAAGCCTTGTTGCTTTTCCGACTTGCAGATTGTAAGAATTTGAAGTAAGACCAAGAAAACATCATGTTTCAGTATCTGAGACTACTCGACAAAGAAAAGCTGATGAAGTTCTGTGACGAGGTGATGGATATTGTGAACCAGATGAATCTCAAACTGGTAAAGTGTATATCAAATATGGCGGAAATTGTTCGGTTCAGGAAGCTACCACCACTGCTTATCTTTTCACCATAAAGTTACAAATGAAACTTGGAATAGTTCAAGGAATGACCCGAGAAGATAGACGAAAGCTATGCCAAACAATTATTCTCAAGGTTGAAAACTTAAGCAACTCGAAAATGGTAAGTTATCCCCAGTTCTTATAAACCTTGTATGTTGATTCACAGAGTTCTGAAGCTGCTTGTTCTATTGCGGATTTGGCTCAACTAGTGGGTCAAATTCTATGGAGTGATTGGAGAATCTCCAGTATTTCTCTATTTGTCGGAATGACATAATGAAACAACTTTCAGATGATTGGCAAGCTTTCTATGAAATGCTCCTCTTGCTTGAGTTCCTAGCTTCCCGATTTAGTTCTGATCCTTACTCCAAGCTCATTCTTTGTAGAGCTTATGCCCATATCGGTATTATACTAATAAGGCTTATTGGATATCATTTATTTTAGGAAATCTTCTTCGAATCGTCGCACTTACTTCTGCATTAGACATCAAGTCTGTACAGAAAGATACCCTAGGTCATTTAATTTTCCCGGTCTATACTCTCTGCGGAAGGTGAAAAGAATGTTCTCAATAATTCACACAGCATCTTTCAGATTCAATCATTCTATCGTCCATTACACCGAGTTGACAAACATGTACACTCAGGCGGAAAGAGAGGTGACTTCCTCATTAAATATTTTTACTTCAGCAAATTTCAGATCAATGAATGCCTTGTCGGTGCATATAAAAACGGAACATTCTTGCAAATCAGAGGATTAGTAGAACTTGACGAAAGGATGAAGCATTCATCTTTGGTTCATTCACTGGTTTCTTTCATGATTACACAATTCTTTTAAGGCTTATGGTGGTGATATCACTAATCGTTACATCTCCGGATTATTCGTTATGACTGATCTCAAGGAAGTTGTTAACGCCTTACTTGGTGATGATGATCCTATCTGTAAGTTTTCGAAAAAGACTTTTAGTTGAAAGTATTGAGTTAAGGCTGGGGATCCATCAAAGACAATAGAGATATCGATGTTATCCCTACATATGATCCCGAGCAAAACTTCAAAGAGATTAACGATCATAAAATGATCAGTCACGTTGAATTCGTAGGATTTGCACATGATTTTCGGGAATAACAGATTGCTTTATCAGGTTGCTCACATTAAGCTTCGTCATTTGCTATGTCTATCTATTGGTGCTCTGGGAAAAGATAGTTTCACGAGTGCCGATATCGTCAAAACGGCAGAACGACTGGACGAGTTCTTAACCGAATGTAAGCTACGATACCCAGAAAACGATCATGTGGTAAGTCAAACTCAATTCTTGTGGAACAATACGATTTCTTGCAGTGTCGAATCTTCCAATCTGCTGCCCCTGTTCGGTTAGAACTTCATCTATATAGTCCAAGTTTCAATCTATTACTCGATATTCTTCAAATGGGAAATGAAGTAGTGAAAGCTAAATGTGATGAAAAGAACCCCCTACCAGCATTGACTCTTACAGGAGAAGAATTCTACGAAAAGTTGATGGGTTAGTTGCCTCTCATACGATGTTTGAAGTTCTGTTCGTTATTTCAGCTATCTTACCCCCATTGAACCAACCCAGCGGTCCATTCGAATTCCATGAAAACATATATCAACTGTCTCTAGTCGTACAGATTGTATCGATGATGCAAATTATTTTGACAATAATTTCGCGGAGAGACAATGCCAAAGACAAAGCTGTTTTCACCCAACGGTGTCAGAATCTATTAGATTCTATCAACTCTTACTCCAAAGTGTTGGCAACTAGAGTTTGTGATTATAAGAAACAATTGGAAACTATCTCGGACGTTCTTTTCCCACGTATCGGTGACGATTGGGACCCGGTAACTTCACAGATACATTCATCTTGAGTGAAATGTTTTTTTTTCAGAAAGTTCTAAGTGTGCTGCAAACCCATGAACCGATGGTACGTGATCGTTGCCTCAAGTCGTATGAAGCATCCCTAGAAGATTTAGTAAGTAACGAAGTTCAGTCCATGAGCAAGTTGTGCATTTCAGAGAGTCTTCTCATTGAGAATGAAAGAAAGATCCTGGACATAATCTCACCAGCTCTAGTTATAACTATTTGTTATTTTATCAATTCATGTTATTGTTTTGTTTGTTTTTGTTTATCTTTCGTTCTCCTTGGATTTCTTGTCAGTCGTAATTTAGGACCTTATTTACAAATTTTTAGTCTAGTTGATTGTATTTGTAGGTCCACGGGATTGTTAACTCATTCGAGATTATTCCACAATATCTCGGTTTCTATACTTCGTTAGGATGATTGTTTATGTTATGAAATTCTCTCCATCTCTCAAAGTCTTCCTTTCTCTCCGATGATTTCTCTTCAACATCCTGTCTGGTATTGTTATTGAAATTTTATTTAAAAGTTGTGATAAATGCAAATTTGTTTTATGATTTAAAAAATTCATGGCCTAATTGAATCTTGCTGCACCTTTTCGATGACTACGCACCAGTTTGCATGTTCGTAATTGCATTGAACGATTCGTACACCGGGTATGGATTCGAACAGCTCCTCCAGTTCACCTTTTCGAAACACATGGTAGTAACGATATAAGGTAACCTAGTATTATGAGGAAATATAATTTTGACTACAAAAATGGAACTTACATCTTTGGTTGCTTCGATAGCTTCCGCAAGGGCTTCCTGCATTATGGTTTTAGTCATTTCGTCAGCTAGTTGTTCTTGAACAGGAACAAGAAAGGATGTTAAGCGCCGGCCTAGATGACGAATTTGTAAATAAAAGCTGCGAATGGGTGGTATTAAACTCAGCATCGGACTCCATTTACTGAGTCCAGAAAGTAAAGAAGCTCGTCTATTCCTGGGTGTAGCTGGCGCTTGTGGAGGAGCTGTTGGTGGACGAGAGAAAAACGGTACATGTGTATTGATAGATTGAAACTGAATGTGCGAATATGAGTGATTCAAAGAGTTACTATCAATACTTTATCAATTAATGAGTTTATCCAACTTGACGAGCATAACGATTCCTTCTGTATGGTCACAGGTATTGAAGCCTGAATGAGTGAGATAAAGATATTATTATTATTTTGAAATTACTTCTATAATTCGTTGTTCTTTAGTTGAATCCATATGAAACCGAACAGCTGGCAATCGTCCTAACCAAAAATATTTATTCAACAAAGATTTATGCAAAATAATGTAATGTGTTACCGTTCATGACTTGTTCGTTTGATTTCCAAGGAACAAGCACATCTTGAGACGGAAATTGAGCATTAGGCTGTTCATATGCCCAAACACAAACAATCATTTGACCCCCAGGGCGTAAACATCTTATTGCATCTAAAAAAAATATTCGAAAAACAGGTAAAATTCCAGAAAAAGAGGAGAAAAGGCAAATTCTTTTCAATTTTTTTCGCGTTCTTCTCATTATCCGAAAAAGACGGCTCGTTTGAACGTTCAAATTTCTAAATTAGCATAATCTATATTGTTATGACGAGAAGGTCACGACAACGCCATGTTGAACACGAGATGACAGAGCTGCAGCTCAGAAATCATTTAGACTTTAAGTACGCGCAGAGATGTTTATTTCATATAATATACCCGTAAGGACAGTCCGTCGTCGTTGAACAGTAGATACATGATGTAAGACGGAAACCAGTAATACCGAATCTACAGCTTCATCTCTTAAAAGGAGATAGACTGAGTCAGAGAGACAAGTATAGACAAGTAAAAGAACAAACAATCTATAGATAATTAAAAAAGAATTAAAACATACCGAAATGGCAGGAAGAAAGCATCGCCGAGTATTAATTGAACATCAGCTCTCTGTTTCGTACTAGTTAGAACATCTTTACATGTGTCAACACCAAAAACAGTACTGGTTGGAGATGAGTATTTGGCTTCTCCGCATCCTGAACGTCAGAAATGAGAAAAAAAGAAGAAAAAAAGCGAGATGAAGATGAAAAGAAGATGATGATGAACGACGCAATAGACGAATAGTATCCAAAGGAGATAGTTTTCAAACAAAATGAATTGTTTAAGCATCAAATTAGTTCCATATTCTATATATTTCTCAACTTTGCTAATTTCCCATGGGCTGTAATTAACTTTCATTCAGCTGACTTTTAAAATATTTCAAAAAAAAGTAAATAATATTCAACAACAATACGTATCGATGCTTACAGTGTTCGATTATTCAGAACAGCAAAAAAGAACTTCCTGATTTTCTCTCTTTTTCCCTCTTTCTTCCTCATCTCGTCACTGCCAACTTCAACTTACCAACATCAATAACAACACTGCCGGGCGCTAATTGATCCATGAATTTTTTAATATTTGGCCATAATCTCAGTGCTGCATTTCGATTATCTGATATGGAATTCTGTTGATAACTAGCCAAGTGTTTATATGCATCATGAACATATTCCTTTTCTATTTCATTCGATGACATTCTGCTGGATGGCTGCAAATGGTTTTATAGAGAGAAGCCAGTTGAAATGCGAGAAAAAAAATAGTTTTGAAAAGATATTTCTCTTAATTAGGAATATAACGACAGATTGGGAACATTACGTTTGACACAAAGAATACCAGAGAATAGAGATAGAGGGAGAGTGAGGGAGAGAGAGAGGGAGAGTTTGTCAGATAGATGAGGGTTACGGAATGGCATACAAAAAAGCAACAGAGCGAGTGAGAAAGAGAATGAGAGAATGAGAGAGATGGAAGCATAGAAATGATTTTCATAAATTTTTTTTCGTTGTTTTCATGAAAACCATAGATAAAGAAAGACTTTAAGCTTAATTATGAGAAGCTAGTACTCTCATATAGAGTCATTCGGAGAAAAGGCGGCAAATGGGAAATTTTTGAGAGGAAAAAAACATTTTCGAAGAGATAAAATAGTTTTGATGGGATGAACAAGGTCTTATTAAGTATAAGTAATTGATGTTGAGAAAGGATGAGAGTGTAAGTATGTTTGTTGCCTGAAGCAATGAAGATGGTTAGTAGCGTGAATGTGTGCGTGTGTGGTAAACAAGAGGAGGTGGATGAGTCAACCGACAAGTAAAAAATGGAAATATTTTGTATTTGTTGGAATTTTTGGAACACGAAAAAGTTATTGGCCGGACAAAGGAAAAGCATATTTCAGCTGCAGTAGGTTAAAAAAAACTGAGCGAAAATGGTTGAGAGAGAAGACGTGAGAAGCTGGAGCTGCCGGCTGATTCAGGAGATGAGAATGAAGAATGGAACGATGGAAGAGGAAGGCTGGGTGTGGAGAAAGAAAAAAAAACGTTTATTTTGCAATCTTTTCCATCAGTGAACTAAAAGAAAATATGAAATTAATTGGAATTTGAAAGTTACAAATAACAACCGCCCTCTACGCTGTCTCTTCGTGAAAATGAAGATGAGGAGATGAGAGAAGGAAAGAAGGTTTTCTCTTTGCTACTTCCTGTCTCATCTATTCGCTCTATCTTTCTCTCTTCTTCTGTTTCCCTCTCTCTATATGCTGTACATGTCGCTCTACTCTCATCTTACTCGTTATCGTTTGAAGTTTGTTGTATGTGAAGTTCTTCACGTAAATTTTCACGCACAAGCAGTATATCTCCAAAATTAGAATATGGGAATGTAGGTGAGGAGGACAGAAGAAGGATGAGAGAGAAAATATGTGAGAGAAAGAGAGAGAGAGAAAAAGAGAGAGAGAGAGAGAATGAAGTAAAAATATGAAAAAGGGGAGGAGGAGCTGGTACGGGGCTGTGGGGCAGAAGCAAGAAAATTTCAATTGGTTGCATTGTGAAAAGCTGAAAAATTGAAACGTTGACAGCAACTAATAGACTCGAATGAACAATATTGTGGAAGAGAAATTGAGAGAAGAAAATAATAAGAAAAACAGATCAAAAACAGAAGAAATGCTCTGAAACATTCTTCAAAAATGGACAAAAATCATGAAGATGTTGCTTGAGAAAGCTCAATTAGCATGGAAAAGCTGGCCACAAAGCACTGATGAAGCTGATTTGAAAGTTCAACACAAAGAATTTGTGGCAACAGCATATGCAACAAGAGAGAGAGAGAGAGATGGAATAAAAAAAAGTTTTAACGAATAAAATAATTTGCTTAAAGCGTTATTCCATAGAAGGAGAAAGACTAGAGAGCTTAGTGAGATATACATGTATAAAGAGAGAGGAAGAGAAAGAGAGATAGAGAGAGAGAGAGTCATGAAGATATCGAATGACATGCGCCTTTTCACCTTCGCGGAGCACTAAGAGAGAGAGCTAGATGTTGCCAGACTCCGAAAACACATATTTTCATATTTTTTTTCCTTTTTTAAAACAGAAAATAAATGAGAAAACATATTTTCTTGTGCGAAGAAATTCATTCGAACAGAATGTTATGAGGATGTAGATGAAGATGAAGAAGCTGACTTTATCTCATGAAATGTAAATTATTTCAAGTAAAGCTAGAGCTGAGAATGAATTGGCTTGAAAGACGAACTTAAGCTTTCAGACGATGGTGACAAGCTGAAGACAAGTGATGTCAATTCATAGCAAAGAATAAAGAAAAAAGCATAAAAAAGTTAATATATATATATATATATATATATATATATGTGTATGTGTATATATTATATTCATCATATAAGGAAGATTATGATTGCAGATCTTGCAATGAGGAAGATGCTCTACCTTATAAGGGGCGAAATGAGACAAGAGAATGAGAAGGCATGAGCGTATGAGAGAAAATGAAATAGAGAGAGGGAGATAGAGATAGATTCTTTTTTCAGTCAAAAAGAAAGATTAGCCCATACAAGTTTTCTTTGCTTGAGTTGACAAGACGAGAAAGAGAGAGAGAGAAGGATGTTTGGAAGGAAAGCTATGATGGAGGCAGTATGTCAGAGCCATATATAGAAAATCTCAGCATGTAAAGAGAGTTACAACGAAAAAGAAACAGAAAAGAAAATATAAAATAGACCAAATGGAGTATGGAAATATTCTAAGAGTTCAGAGATATAGAGAGTGGTATTGAGGGAGAGAGAGAGGAAGAGAGGGAGGAGAAGAAAGAGAAGGAATTGATAGACGGAAAGGTATCATGGAAAAGATAGATCAGAAAAAGAGAGTAAAAGATTGAAAAGAAAATAAAGGGGAAAAAGAGAGAGGAAGTAAGGGGGATAGCAAGAGATACGTATAGAGAGAGAGGAAAAGAGAGAGAGGGAAAGGACCCAGATATGGGCTGTTACTACAACTTGAGGTATCCGCAGCAACAAGCCTAAATGATCTTTCTAGTTAAATGGAGCGAAATCAATAAAAAATCTTTGAGGTTAACCATAAACTATGTGACAAGTAAGAGAAAATACATTCTAATATATGATTTCATACAATACAGTAAACAAGTGGAACGAGTGAGAAGAGGGGGGAGTGGTATGGAAAGAAACGGGAAAATTCACTCGATGCTTCCCAGCATAGACGTCTGCCGTCGTTGCCTTCATTCCTCTTTCTTCATCAAATAATTTAATAATGTGTAAACGATAAATAAGATGGAAGCTGGACACTTTATGGTCGATAAAGAAATAGCTTAGAAAGTAAAAAACAAAAAAAAAAAATTTTTTTCTTATTCTGTTGCATGTGCTCCCCCTCCTACTCTACATGGCTGTCGACACTCGCCTTCTCACTCACTCTCGTGAGATAGGAGACTTCTGTGAGCGCAGAAGATATAATCTATCATTATGGACCATTCTTGATCATTTTAGATTTTCGTGTCTTTGTTAAAACCCTGAGATTATCAGCATCTCACTCTCTCTCTCTTTCTCTCGCAGCCTTCTTCTATCTCTCTCTTTACTCCTCACTCTCTCTCTCTCTATCAATCGTTCGCTTTGTTCACTCTCCTATTACAACAACTTTTTTAAGCTCTTCTTCTCATGAAGATTTGCATTATTCTAACTTCCTTTAACCAAACAAGGAAATGTTGAAAGAAATCTTGTTAAGCTTAATCTTCTGAGGAACATTTTCGAATAGTTTGCTCTTTCTTTCTCTATCTCTTCATCAAGTTCAAAGAGTTGGAAGGATGATGCCAAGACTGAAAACAGCCTCATGTAATCACTTATCTTAATTAGCATATCCATACGAAAGCATACTTAGTAAAGATAAGCCTCACAATACAATATGCATAGTTCTTCCAGAATTCATAAAGCGAAATTCCAACGACATACGGATGGCCGGTGCATGGAGAGGATAGCATGAACTACCAAATTAAATTAAACTGGTTTTAACGAAAGTGAAATCAAAAATAATTTCTTAAGAATTCATAAAGCGAACTCCAACGACATAC